CCTCCAGCCTGCCCTGGCTCCTCCCCTCCCCACCTCCAGCCTGCCCTGACTCCTCCCCCTCCCCACCTCCAGCCTGCCCTGGCTCCTCCCCTCCCCACCCCCTTCCTGGCCGGCCTGCTCCTCCCTCCCCTCCTCCAACTCACTCCTCAAACAGCTTCTTCCAGTTGCTCTGGACGAAGTCCCAGACCAGAGTCTGCCCGACCACGTTGCTGGCGATGCTGTTGATGGTGGAGGTAGCGTCCTGCTTCCGAATGTAGTCAGGGTTCAGGGTGTAGCTCAGGTACCTGTGGGGGGGCCGGCCTGGTGACCCTCCTGGGACACACGCGCATCCCCCCGCACCCCGCCCCCTGCACACCTAAGCAGGGGGGGGGCCTGCCCCGCCAGGTGTGTGCGGGACGACCAGGCAATGGGTGTGTGGAGCAGGGAGGACGTCGAGGGGCGGCGGCCGGGGCGGCCAGGCCGGGACGAGGGGTGTGCGGGGCGGGGCTCGGCTCCTCACCTGTTCAGGATCCACACCTGGTTGCTGCAGGCCAGGGCGGCGCGGAGCTTGTCGGCCTCGTTCACCAGGGTGGCGTTGCGGAACTGCTCCCAGGCGAAGTTCCACTCCACCTCCCCGCCCTGCGCGATGGCGTTGCAGTACACGGTGGAGCGCAGGTTGGGGTGGATGCTGGGGCAGGAGGGGGCCTGGTGAAGCAGCTTGCTGGGGGGGGGGAGGGAGGGCCAGGCCCAGGGCAGCATGGGAGACACTCACGGGTTTTGGCTGGGGTTGTCCATCCACTGCTTGAAAAGCGAGGACACCAGGTCTTTGCACTCGGGGAGCCCGTTGGAGCAGGCCGTGCTGATGGCGTTGACCTCGTTGTACCTGCCCGGGGAGCCATGCGGTTGGAAGCCCGGCCCACACTCAGCCGGTGTCTTACTCTTCACACACAGCCTCAGACCTGTGCCCTAGGCGAGGCCCGGACCTTCTGGGTCTCTCCCTCTCTCCTCTCTCTCTCTCTCTCCTTCATGCTTTGGCCTGACTGAGCTTCCAGACCTTTGGAGGAGCCCAGGAGCCCCGCGGGGTCCACACAGGGTCCACCCCAGCACGGCTGGAGGCCTTTGGCTGCCAGCTGGCCAGGGCGTGGTGTGCGGGCATGTACAATGAAGTGGGTGGGGACGCGCTCACCGGCAATCCCAGCTGTGGGAGGCTAGGGACCATCTCTCAAGGACAACGGCCCTGCCTGGCCCAGAGCCCCTGCGCCTGCACTTTCTGCCTCCTGGGCCCCCCTGAGTCAGGAGCCAGGAGCCATGGGGAGACTTTGGGGCGCTCCCCCTCCCCCGCCGCATCTAGCTCACTGCTCCATGAGGGTGGCCGGGCGCTGGGTCCAGTTGCCGGTGAGGTCTTTGAAGTAGTGGTACAGCGGAGTGACCTGCTTCCTCAGGTAATTCTGGGGAAAGAACACGGGGGCAGCTTCAGCCTCCTGCCAGGCTGGCTCATGCCTGTGATCCCCACTGCTTAGCAGGTAGATCAGGAAGACTGAAGTTCAAGGGAACTGGCGGTACCCCAATTCCCTTTCCCAATCTGACCCCCAGAAATGGGCCCACTGGTCTCATTACATATTTTCTGGAGAAAATACAAAGTGGTCAATTTTTCCCTTTGGGGCTAGGATGCAACCCCGGGTCTTTGCACATGCTGAGCACATGCTCTACCACTGACCCCTTAGCTTTTAAGGATTCCCAGTGAAGAATTTCTTGCCTACCAGGTCACCCTACAATGTGAGAGAGTTTTAAAATATGGAACACTCCACAGGGCCGCATGACATCCTCGAGTTCGGCTGTGCTAACCTGAATTGAACTGTGAGGTTCTAGAATATTCTAGAAGAGCCAACAGCTTTTTTTTTTTTTTTTCACTTTCAGGCCCCAACAGCCTTGTACTTGAAGGGAGACCAAGACAAACAGAAAACTTGGAGGAAGAGAAAGAAAACCCGAGAAGCCTGCAAGAGCAACAAGGAGACATTGCGCAAGTCACCGGGACTTGAGAGCACTCAGAAATGCAAAAATAGGAGAGATTAAACCCACTCTAGGGGAGAGCCGCGTGCAAAAGCTGGGGGCTCCGGCCTGTGGGCAGAGTAAAGACATCAAGCTGACAACAAGGAGACAAGAGAGCAACAGGGCCCGGGCCAGTAGCTACAGGTGCTTCTAGAAAGAGACAACCAGGGAGCAGAAAGGGAAGCGGGTTCAGAAAAGGCGCATGGAAATGTTCTCATCCCCGAAGGGACCCAGACCGAGGCCCACTGACGTTCCCAGGAGAGTCTGGAAGCAGGAGAAACTGGTCACATTCTAGAAAGAAGAAAGGGCCTGGGCTTTGCAGGGACAGCACAAAGAAGTCTGATGTCGGCAGAGGGATGGTTGTGGTGGTTGTTGTTATTATTATTTGCCAATGCTGGGGCCTGGGCACTGTCCTGGAGCTTCTTTTGCTCGAGGCCAGCGCTCTACCCGCTACTTGAGCCACAGTGTCACTTCCAGCTTTGTGTGTGTATGTGGTGCTGAGGAATCAAACCCAGGGCTTCATGCGTGCAGGGCAAGCAGTCTACCGCTAAGCCACATTCTTAGCCCCCAATCTAGAAACTTCTAAATGCAGCTTAACTCTCAAAGTGACAGACATTTTAGATGTCTAACCAGGAAACTCATTCTCATGAACGCTTGAGCCTTAAAACTTGAGAGCAGGGCGTAGTGGCTCACGCCTGTCATCCTAGCAACTCAGGAGGCTGAGGCCTGAGGAGCGCAGTTCAAAGCCAGCCCGGGCAGGCAAGTCCACAAGATTCTTTTGTTTTTTTTGGGGGGGGTCCGGTTGTGGGGCCTGAACTCTGGGCCTGGGCGCTGTCCCTCAGCTCTTCAGCTGTAGGCTAGCACTCTACCACTTGAGCCACAGCGCACTTCCCATTTTTTCTTCCTATGTGGTGCTGAGGAATCAAACCCAGGGCCTCAGGCATGCAAGGCAAGCGCTCTACCACTGAGCCACCTTCCCAGCCCTCCACAAGATTCTTATTTCCAATGAGCCGTGACTGCTGATGCTCCTCTTTCAACCGGCACCTTGCTACACGTTCCCCTTTTGGCCTCGCCTGTGCTGCCCGCTCTTGGGTGCATCCCCCCCCCCGCCCCCATCCCCGGCGGCCGGGGCCGTCCAGGACCAGCCTCCTACCTTCATGGGGCCGTAGACCTCAGAGCGGTCAAACATGAGCTTGAAGTAGTTGAGGCTGCTCAGCGCCGCCTCCCACGGCATGTACTCTCTCTCCTGGTACAGGAAGAGGGTGTTGTCCAGCGCCAGCGTGACGGGGACCCTGCGGGCACTGGGGACACACGGGAGAGCTAGAGCACCCCCAGGTCCAGCCATAGGCCGAGGCCCCAGCTGGCCGCCAGGGCCGCCCCTCCGTCCCGGGTCCCCTGCCTGCCGCAGGAGGAAGCGGCCGGCTCTCCGGGAGGGCGCCACGCTGCCACCCTAGGACAAGTCCTCGCTCCTCACGTGGTGCCCTGCCCTCCCCGGTCCTCCCTGCCCAGGTCTGTGGTCGCGCGTCTCCCAGCACCACATTGGGGAGGGGCTCACCTGGCCAGATTGAAGGCATCGTTGATGATCTGCGCCCGATTGATGACAGGGATGGCCTAGAAGAGGCGGATAGTGTGACCTGGTTGGGTAGTAGCCACGGCAGACCCGGCAGCCTGGCCACGGCAGACCCAGCCACGGCACCCCACCCACCGACAGGTCGGTCTGCAGCTGGGTCTGGATCTTCTTCCAGTTGCCCTCGTCGTAGTTGACCTGGTAGTAGCCGGTCACGTTCAGGTTCAGCAGGACCCACTCGTTGGCCGCACTGGTTTTGAACAGCTGGTTCTGGGCTGCAGGGCAAGATGGGCGCTGGGCGGGGTCCCGCGGGGGAGGGGGTCCCCCCATCCCCCCCATCCCCTCCCAGTCCCTTTCCGGCCTGGCTGCCTGACCCCTGTCTTGGCCTCCCCTGCCTCTGCCAGCCAGCTCGCCTGCCTCCCCTCCTCCCCAGCCCCTGCCCTGCCCCCGGCCCTGCATGCAGGAGGGGCGGGGTCGGCTTCGGCCGCTGCCCTGCTCTACGCGGCTCACCTGGGCCCGGCGTGCTCAGCAGCCGGCTGAACAGGGCCGTGCCTGCGAGACGGCAGGCACTGGTTCAGGTTTTTATGTCAATTCTCTCCTCAGTCCTCACACAACCCCGCAGAGTAGATACTGCCCTTAGCTCTACCTTATAGATGAGGAAACGGAGACCAGAGTGGGACGTAACGTGACCAACGCCGCGCAGCCGGGCAGCGGCAAAGCGGACATTTGTTCAACCAGATGCAACCCTCGCTATGCCCCGCCGAGGCCTCAGGCCAGGAGCGGCCGGGCGCCTTGCCCACCGGGGAGGCCGGGATTACCTTTTTCTTCCAGCAGCCAGTAACTGTCCTGCTGGGCGCCGTTCCTGAGAGACGTGATCGGCACGATCCACAGGTAGCTGCGGACACGCGTGAGAGCCCGCGTGAGAGGCGGCTGGCCCGGTTCCCAGCCAGCGCCCAGCAGCCCAGGCTGCCGGCCCCGGAGGAAGTGCCCGCCCCTCACTGACCGCAGTGGGCCGGAGGCCGCCCCAGTGCTCCCCCCCGCCCCGCCCGGGACACGGGCCGCAGCGACCCCGTCTGCTCACTTGAAGTCTGAGGGCCGGGTGACGTTGGACTCGGGGTCCAGGAGGAAGTGCTGCTGGGAGATGTTCCCGGTCTCTGTGTTCACCGTGATCACCGGGAAGCCCATCTGCAGGATCCAGCGATCCATGATGGTGCCCACGCTGTCCGGGAGCTGGATTTCCTGCTGGCTGTCCACGGCCTGGGCGCAGAACGAGGGGCAGCGTGGGTGTGGGGACAGCCATCCCCCGCCCCTCCCCCAGAACCCCCTTCTGTGGACTCCAGCCTCTGCCCCCCGGGTGCCATCCAAGTTAAAGGTGACAGATGGGGCCCCTGTCCGGCCGTCTGCCCCTGTCCAGCACCGTCTGCCCCTATCCGGCACAATCTGCCTCTGTCCAGTGCTGTCTGCCCCTGTCCGACACAGCAGTACCACATACACAGAAAAAGCCAGAAGTGGCGCTGTGGCTCAAGTGGTAGACAGAGTGATCGCCTTGAGCAAAAGCGGCTCAGGGACAGCGCCCAGGCCCCGAGTTCAAGCCCAGGACCGTTTAAAATAAAAAAGCCAGTGATGCAAAGCACAGGGAATGCGCCCATGGGGAGGGGGAGGGGTGTGGGGGGATCCTGGGCGGGCGAGGGCTTTGCCCCAGGTGGGGGAGGCTGGCAAGGGGAGGGGAGGCCCTGTGGGGAGGGCGTGGGCTCAGCCCCGATGGGCCTGTGGCACCCCACAAGGAGCAGGAATGTGGGCGGGGCAGGATGGAGGGTCAGAGTTTGTGTCTAGGGTGCCAGGATGTCCCGGGAGGGGCCGTGGGGCACAGGGCACCCCGAGTGATGACGCGGTCTAACGGCTGGCCCCAGAGGCCCGGGGGGAGGGACGGACCCAGGACCACGACCGAGGTGGACTGCAGGGGAGGAGGGGAGGGCCCTGCCCCAAAGCGGGGTCTGCCATGAGGCCTGCCAAGCCAGCCCCCCCCCCCGGGGCAGAGTGCAAAGCCGGCGCAGGCAGACGGCCCTAGGGTCCCTCCGTCCCAGTGACCCAGCAGGAGCGCCACAGGTGGAGCTGCGGCTCGAGCGCTAGAGCCCCAGCCTTGAGCAAAAAGGGGCTGGGGGAGAGTGAGGGCCTGAGCTCAAGGCCCAGCAGCTGCCCGGGCGCGGGGCGCTGGCCGGCTCACCTTCTGCAGGTGCTCCCACAGGTGCAGGTAGTCGGTGCTGTTGTACTTGAAGGCCTGGAGGTAGGACTGTGGAGAGTGGGGGGTGAGCGGGGGTCCCAGGCCTGGGGGAGGGGCTGGGCGGGCCGGCTGGGGGCGGGGTGCTCACCGCCAGGCCCTGTTTGAAGAGGTTTTCAGTGAGGAAGCTGGACAGCATCCTGAGGACCGAGGCGCCCTGCGGGCAGAGGTGGGAGAGGGCTCAGCGGGCTGAGGCAGCAGGGGTGTGGGGGGATCGCCTCCCTCTTGTGGGGGGGCAGGGGCATCACCTTGCTGTACGTGATGGAGTCGAAGAGCTCGCTGATCTGGGCGGGCGTGTTGACCTCGTCGGCGGGGGAGGACAGCGGGTGGGAGGAGGCCAGGGCGTCCACAGCCATCACGCGGTACACATCATTCAGCACGATGAGATCCTTCTGCAGATGCCCCCGGCCGCCGCCCGGGTCAGGGCACCGCCAGGGTCAGGGCACCGCCGGGG